TCAAAAAAAAAAAAAAAAAAAAAAAAAAAAAAAAGTCTGGGGTTTGGCTGTATCCATCCTATATGACTCTCAGGCCCCCCACATTCCTACCTCACTGGCTCATAGGGCTACCCTGAAGGATCCAGGCCAGCCGCCTGAAGCCCCACACCATCCCTAGGGGCTGAGGACAGCACTGAAGTGCTCCCCCTACCCCAAGGGGCCTCCACACACTGCTGTCCAGGGCAACTCCACGGGAGGACCTTAAGTACACATGGAGGCCGGCAGAGTGGAAGGACGTTCCCACCCCTAAGTGGACAGTGCTCTCCAAGTCAGGCTAAGCCAGAAACACTCCCTGAGAGCTAGCTCACCCAAGGCACCCCCAGCAGTAGGTCAAGGGAAGCCCATCCAGGAATCTGTGCCCAGCCTCCCTCCTTTCCTGGAAAAATGTACTCCAGGAATCTCTCCACCAGGAACACGGAGGTGGAGCTGGGGCATTTCTCTGCTTTCCACAAGACTCTGTGTTCTGGGCAATCCCCCTATGGCCCTGTCTAGGGTGCCCCCTTCCTGACACTCACGCTCAGCCCTCGTTTCTCTCTCATACTTCAGTCTTCTCACATTCAAGGGGACAATGTCCAGGCCTGGCTCGGCCTCTGGAACGATATGGTCAGGATCTGGGAACCGTCCAGGTCTGGCTCCAGTCCTCTGGATGCAGGGGAGGAGAAGGGGGGCTTACCTGGCAGCCAGCTCTGGACGGGGCGGGGGTCTGCGAGGTCCCTGGGGTACTAGGGCTGCTGCTCACAGCTCTGGTCCCGTCACAGTGTCAGTCCAGCAACAGCGCCTTGGCCCTGGGGAAGGGCTGACTGGGCAGTCATGCAGGTTTGCCAGGGAGGAAACCTGCCCTGCCAAGGTGGCCCCAGGACAATACTGGCTGCACAGGAGGGGAGGCTGCTTGAGAGAAGGGGGCACAGGAGTTGGAGGATCAGAGAGTGGTCGAGACTGTGGCATTCTGTTGTCCTCTGCCTGTCTGAGGGATTCAGCCCAGGGGGTCACAAAGCCTGGTACCCTGTAGGCCACCCCCATCCCTGCGCAGGCAATGCTTGACCCAAAGGAAGGATCCTGGCCTTGGTCAGTCACCGTAGGCCCTCAGGCAGATGTCCTGATACCCATACTGGCCCAGGGAGGCGCCCCAGCCTCACAGGCCTCAAATATATGCCTCTCCTTGAGGAGGGAGAGCTGGGGCCCAGGGCCACAAATGTCCCCCACCCAGGTAATGTGAGGGGCCCAGAACCGATGAAGTAGGGGCTGTAGGGAGCAAGAGACTCCAATAGGGACTTCGAGGGAGCCCCCATCAAACTGGGTGGGTCCTGAAGGAGCAAGGGCCCTCTCCTCACAGTGAGGACTGTCCCTCCCCTTGCCAGGCAGGAAGCCTGCAGCCAGGGGCAGATGTAGCCGGCCCACTGCCAGCCTGCCGGACCTGGGCGGTAGTTCACCAGTGGGCCTCGGCAGGGCAGCCGGTCTCCCTGGGAAGGGGTCCCAGAGGGTAGGCTCCACCAGGCCTGCTCAGGCCTGTCTCCGGGGGAAGCGGGGAGTGGGTATAAATATTTGTCCGTGCGGTAGTACAGATGCAGGGTGGACAGATCCGACACGAATGCCCACTGCAAGGGCGATTCCCGAGAGCAGCTGCTGGCGCTGAACAGTGAGAGCAAAAGGCATCCCCACCCGCCTGCCGCCCGCTAGCTCTTCGCGCTATCAAAGCACCGGAGCCAGAGGGTAGAGGCGCCAGACGCC